AGTTTGATACAAATTTTCATAACACACTATATTTTACGCTTGTTCTTTAAGGTTTTAATTTCAGATCTACCTAAGGATGTCGAACTCTTAGTTTTCTCATTTCAATGTTGATAGTAAGTCTGGCCATCATGGCAAAAACAATAATATTGCACCTAGTAACGAGGTGCCTCCTACTGATTACAACGGAGTCCCAGCCCCAATCGATGCCAACTCGCATGTGGCCATCGACGCCAACCTGCCGACCGATCCTGAGAACATCGTTTGCCGGGTAGCCCGACCAATGACTCGAGCTACGCTCGAAGGGAAAGGAAATAGAATTAATCTATAGGTGATCTTCAAAATGTTACAGGTTCAATAGGTGGCGATAGCACAGCTGCGGAACCGAAGCCGTGCCCCCAGCAGAATTGAGCCCGAACAATCCCAAGAAAACACCCGAAGGAATGAGCAAGCCATGGAGAGGCCAGATGAAGCTGAGCCTGAAGCCAACCTCGAAATAATTAAGATGCTCCAGGAACTGACAAAGCGGGTAGAATCGGGGGAAAAGAAATTTGAGGCATATGACAAAAAGGTGGAGACCTATAACTCCAGAGTTGATCAAATCCCAGGAGCGCCCCCGATATTGAAAGGCCTAGACTCCAAGAAATTTGTCCAAAAGCTTTTCCCCCCAAGCGCATCACGAAAGCCAATCCCAAAGAAGTTCCATATGCCCGAAATTTTGAAGTATAATGAAATCACAGATCCAAACAAACACATGACCTCCTACACGTGTGTCATCAAGGGGAACAACTTAGAAGATGATGCAATCGAGTTAGTTCTGCTGAAAAAGTTCGCAGAGACCCTATCAAAAGGAGCAATGATATGGTATCACAACTTACCTCCTAATTCTATTGATTCGTTTGCTATGCTTGCAGATACCTTTGTAAAGGCGCACGCCGGGGCTATCAAGGCCGAGACTAGGAAATCAAACCTTTTCAAAGTAAAGCAAAGAGATAGTGATATGCTCAAGGAATTTGTGTCGAGGTTTCAAATGAAACAAATGGATCTGCCTCTGGTCGTGGTCGATTGGGCTGTTCAGATGTTCACCCAAGGACCAACCCCCGAAACTCCTTGGCTTCACAGCAGTTGGAACAAAATTTGATAGAATACCTGGTAGTAACTTGGGCTGATGTCCATAACAGGTACCAATCAAAAATCAGAGTCGAAGACGATCAGCTCAGGGCTCCCTCCGGGTCCGTTTATCCCATCAGAACTAACAACAGGTCTAAGAGAGTCGTCGATTATGAGTCAAGACCGAACAGAGATCAGTATCAACCATATAACGGAGACCAAAAGGGTAACAGATCTAGGTATAACCCTGCAAAAAACAAGAAAAGGAACGATCAAAGCCACAGTAGTTGAGGAATCATGAGCAAAAATGGTTTCGATAGGCCACTCGGGGCCAGGGAGGCACCGAGGCTATCGGAATACAACTTCAGTATCAATGCTGCCAACATCATATCTACCATCGGGTGCATCAAAGATACCAAATGGCCTCGATCATTGCAGTCCAACCCTACCTAGAGAGACCCTAACTTAATATATAAGTACCATGGCACTCACGACCATAGAACCAAGGACTGCCGATAGTTGAGAGAAGAAGTGGCCCGATTATTCCATAATGAGCATCTCCGAGATTTTCTAAGTGATCGAGCCAAAAATCATATTAGGAATAGGGACTCCAACAAACAGACTGAACAAGAGGAACGTCAGCATGCCATTAACATGATCATTGGTGGAGTCAACGTCCCCTAAGGACCAATGTTAAAGCGCACCAAGGTGTCCATTACAAGGGAAAACGAACTCGAGATTATATCTCGGAGGGGACCGTTTCATTCAACGACGGGGACGATGAAGGCATCCTGCAACCACATAATGACGTACTGGTAATATCTATACTTATAAGTAAATCTTGAGTTAAACATGTGTTGATTGATCCAGGTAGCTCGACCAATATCATCTGGTCGAGGGTCGTAGAGCAGTTGGGTCTACAAGACCAAATAGTGCCTCCAGTACGGATTTTAAATGGATTTAACATGGCATGTGAAACTACTAAAGGGGAAATAACCCTACCAGTGAACACCGCAGAGACCATTCGGGAAATAAAGTTCTATGTGATCGAAGGGGCTTTGAGGTACAATGCCTATTCGGAAGGCCATGGATTCACAATATGAGGGCGGCACCCTCGACATTACACCAGGTGTTGAAGTTCCCCACACCAGGAGGAACCAAGATGATTTATAGAGAGCAGCCGGTCACAAAAGAAATGTTTGCGGTCGACGAGGTGATTTTGATGTCCACACTCTCGATATCAATGCGACGGCCGGGCATGAGATACTCAGTTTTCTCGATGCCTACTCTGGGTATAACCAAATCCGAATGGACCCGGATGATCAAGAAAGACTTTCTTTATCACTAAATTCGGCACATATTATTATAATGTAATGCCGTTCGGACAAAAAAATACTGGTGCCACTTATCAACGCCTAGTAAATCGGATGTTCGAAGAACAAATAGGAAGATCAATAGAGGTATATATTGACGACATGCTAGTTAAGTCCCTGCGAGCAGAGGACCATTTGAAACATTTGTAGGAAACCTTCGACATATTGAGAAGACACAATATGAAGCTCAACCCAGAAAAATATGGATTCGGGGTCGGATTCGAAAAATTCCTTGGGTTCATGGTATCCAACCGGAGGATCGAGATTAATCCCGATAAAATCAAAGTCATAGAAGATATCACTGTGGTGGATAGAGTTAAGGTTGTTTAGAGGCTAACCGGGCGTATAGCCGCACTAGGCCGTTTCATATCGAGGTCCTTGGACAAAAGCCATTGATTTTTCTCACTGTTTAAGAAGAAGAATAACTTCTTTTGGACCCTGGAATGCCATCAAGACTTGGAAGAACTCAAACGGTACCTTTCGAATCCACCCCTACTCCACACTCCGAAGGCGGATGAATAATTGTACCTTTATTTGGCGATATCCGAAGGCGGTAAGTGGAGTCCTAGTCCGGAAAGAGGAAGGTATGCAATTTCCTATTTATTATGTTAGTAAAACTCTAGGTGAGGCCGAGACAAGGTATCCTCACCTGGAAAATTGGCGCTCGCTTTGCTAAGCGCCTCCAGAAAGTTGAAACCATACTTTCAATGCCACCCTATATGTGTCGTAACCTCTTACCCACTGAGAAATATTATGCATAAACCCGAGCTCTCGGGTTAGTTGGCCAAATGGACCATCAAAATTAGCGGATACGATATTGAATATCGACCCCCAACTACCATAAAATCACAAAATTTGGCAGACTTTGTAGCTGACTTTATGCAAGCGTTAATACCCGAAGTCAAAAAGGAATTGTTGTTAGCCTTGAGGACTTCCTTGAGAATTTAGGCCCTCTTTACAGATGGTGCTTCGAACGCAAAGGGGACCTGACTGGCATCGTGTTGAAGCTGCCTACGGGAAACATAATCAGGCAGTCTATTCGAACTATAAAATTGACTAACAACGAGACCGAGTATGAGGCCGTGATTGCAGGTCTCGAATTGGCCAAAGGTCTTGGGACATAGGTGGTCAAAGCTAAATACGATTCCCTCCTTGTAGTAAATCAAGTCAATGGAACATTCGAAGTAATAGAGGAACAAATGTGAAGGTATTTAGACAAATTGCAGGTGGCGCTGCATCAATTCAAGGAATTGGCCCTTCATCATGTACCTCGAGATCAAAATAGCAAGGCCAATGCTCTGGATAACTTGAGGTCATCGGTTGATGATTACGACTTCAACTCAGGAACGGTCGTGCAGCTCATGAAATCGGTAGTGGAAGAAGGCCACGCCGAAATAAATTCATTAAGTTTAACTTGGGATTGGATAAACAAGTACATAGACTACTTGAAGACTGGAAGTTACCCTCGGACCCTAAAATTCAAGAGCTTTACGCACGAAGGGGGACAAGTTCAGCCTGTCAGAAGGTACTTTGTACAGAAGAACGTTCGATGGCCCACTCGCCATATGCTTGGAGCAGGGAGATACCGAATACATCTTGAGAGAAGTTCACGAGGGCACATGCGGAAACCATTCGGGGCAGAATCTTTGGTTCAAAAGATAGCCGGCTATTACTGGATCAATATCAGCGGTAGACCAGTGATTAGCGAGAAGAAAGATTTTTACCTTTTTTAGAATTGTAATTAGGGTAAAACTCTCCTACTATATAAAAGGGAAGCTTACTATTCATTAGACACATTGTAACACGTATACCAATGCAATATACATCTATTTTTCTCTGGTGATTTAAAAGTTCTTGTTTTGGTTCATAAGTTCTTCATAAGCACTGGTCCGGAATCGAAGGCGAGCTTCTTGTTAAGCGTTGAACCGAGCCCGAGTTTACTATCATCATTGTTTTGATTGTTTATTCTATTTTTTAATTGCTTATACAACGTCAATAATTACTTGTATCGAATTAATCCGCATATCCTTAAAATCACGTATAAATTTAATTATTACCCATCTTTAAACGTAAACAGAGGCAACAGTAGAAGGATCCTGTAAGACACATTAATATACTTATTAATTGTAGATTGAAAAAGGTAATACGATAAAGTCTGGCGGAAAGAATGGAAAAATGGACAATTCTCCTAGAACCTCTTTTGTTTACTTCAGCGGTTTCTATGGAAAAAGTTCTAAAAACAAATAAATAAGATGTAAATATCCAACGTGGCACCCAATGCTAAAGCCACGTCGGCAAGTGTACAACACGACACATTAGAGCGTAATCGTGGCCTCATGTAATAGAAAGGGCAGCACCTCAAACAACGAAAACTACGTCATACTTAAATATCGTAATATAAGACAAAATCAAAGGGCATTGTAGTCCATATGTTTTACACTTAATTACTTTACCATATTACCCTCCAACTGCATCGGAGTTCTCTTCAAACTCTCCTTTTCTATTTTTGTATTGCATATATTTTTGGGTTTCAATAGGGTATATTCTCCGGTTCTTCTCCTCTCTCTTCTCTCTCTAAAAACATGTAAAATCTTTCACACTGTTATTCACCTTCTCATAGCTTTAATATACATTCATATTTATTCAAGAGAGAGAAGAGAGAGAGAGAAAAGAGACTTGATCTTTTGCTAAATTGGGGATTTTCATCTAACCAGTCAAAGGTGACATTTTTATGCACATCTTCTTGAATTTCAATCTGTTTTTTTTTAAACCTGTTAATGACNCTGTGGATCCCAATTGGGCTCATTTATGGTTAACTTGGTTTTGCTTCAATTTTGTGTGCATGATGTTTTTGTATCTTCATGTACTTTAATCTATCATTTTATTACTGAGTCTTGATGGTTCTGCTGGTGTCTTGATTAGTTCAAATAATTTCTGTTCTCACTTACTATTAATTCAAGTTCTCAACAACAAGATTGCACTTTCCTTCACGTTGTTGAAGCTGCTTTCTAGGAACGTAGTTTATGTTTGCATTTGTGAAGAACATTGTAAATGCTATTTATCAGTGGTTGTGGTCACTCATATTCAATGGTTGAGTATCTTTTCGAGATTTATTTATCTTCTTTTTATGTTCAAATATCTGTTTTTTGAACATTATAGTGTTCATCAAATTAAGAAGCATTAGTTAATTTTGGTATATATGTGGATTAGATCATTTGGACTAAATAGATAAACATTAAGAATAAACATGTATGTTCTCACGAGCGAATCTCTGTCAAACAATCTGGTAATCATATTTTTTGTTGATAAGGAACAATCTGGTAATCATATTTCGGCATTTTCTTTGACAGGCCATACCAAAAACTCTTTCAGTGGTGTTTATTCATGGCGTGAGGTGTTGATGGAACTGGCTTTCTAAAGAATACATAGATTAACCCGTCTCATTGCAGGTTCAGGATGTCTTGATTTCATTGCTGGACACTCTGAAATACTAACTTGGAAGAACTTTGAACATTATTCACTAGTACATAATTTTGGCAAAAGGTCTTTGCGGTCGTGAGTGGTAGAGAATCATCCAAACAATACGGACTATCGTGAGTGATAGAGAACCATCCAAACAATACGGACTAACTTATATCAGCTAATGGAGGACATAGTTCCATTATCATGTCAGAAGCAGCAGCACATCCCTGCTAGGAAACATTCATTCAGTGGATGCTCCAAAGATCTATGGGCTGCTGTACAAGATGGGTCTGTAGCTGATTTTGATTCGTCTTTGGCATTCCTTAAGAAGAGTGGGGGAAATATCAACATTAGGAATGCCTTTGGCCTTACCCCTCTCCATATTGCAACCTGGAGAAATCATGTCCCAATAGTTAAGAGGCTACTTGCTGCTGGTGCAGACCCTGATGCGAGGGTGTGTTAGTCTTTTGATCCTTTAGATCATATCAATTTTTTAATGTCATTTATACGTGCATGCTGACTTGTTGCTCTCATAGTTTTAGCCGTCACATGATAGGGTGAGTAACTTATTACATTTTTTTGGCTTTTCCCTTCTCTTCTCCCCTTTTTAAACTTTTGCATTTTTCTTAAATTGTGGTGGACAATGATCTAAAAATTCAGCATATTCATGGCTTAGTTATTTCAATTCTTGTTTTTAAGTGTGTGTCTTGTCATATGACTAATTTGCAAATGTTCTGATGGTGAACTCTGTTGTCTGGACAATGCTACTTTGATAAATATGCCTGTTCTTAGTCTTTGCTGAAACATTATTTAATGTTAAGTTGGTAACTATGGAGTGATATTTGGTGCATCTTACCAACCATGTGTGTGTGCGTTGACCGTCTTTCTTGGGGATTTGTGTCAGGTAAGCTACTACTAGGGAATGAAAAATGAAAAACTGCATTTTTATGGCATGTCTGAAGATCAATATAACTTGAAAGATTGTAGGACCTATTTGAGCACAAAACTGAAGGGCATGGTCGTCAATGTTGTATAGTTTGTTTTCATGACAAGTTAGAAGAGAAAAATATGTCACAATCCAGATAAGGTTCAGAAAATAAAAAGTGGAAGGAATCCAGTCATGCAGAATTTCTTAGCAGTACAGTACAATGATTATGGACCTCTGACCTAAAAAGAAATGTTTATCGATCTTCAATGATGTCAGTTTTTCAATTCGATCCCGTCTGTTCAGAAAAGCTTGATGTACATTTGCTTATGAAATCTATGTGTACCGTGTCAGGATGGGGAATCAGGATGGAGTAGCCTTCATCGCGCCCTGCATTTTGGTCATCTTGCTATTGCTAGCATCCTTCTACAGTCTGGTGCTTCTATCACTTTGGAAGACACCAAATCTAGAACTCCCATTGATTTGTTGTCAGGACCTGTTTTACAGGGCTTTGAAAACAAAAATTCAGGTAGATGTGAAGACATTTCAATTTCTGTGAACTCTCTCTTCAATTCATTTCATAGTAGATAGCAGTTGACTTTCTTTGCCGTTTGTATGTTTTTTTTTTCTTTTAGCTGCTACGGAGGTTTTCAGTTGGGGAAGTGGTGTGAATTATCAACTAGGGACTGGAAATGCACACATTCAAAAGTTACCCTGTAAAGTTGATTCTCTTCATGGGTCAGTCATCAAGTTGGTTTCTGCAGCAAAATTTCATAGTGCAGCCGTCACTGCCCGTGGAGAACTCTATACTTGGGGTTTTGGACGAGGTGGCCGTCTTGGGCACCCAGACTTTGATATACATAGGTAAACTTAATTTGAGGAAAGCTTTTGACTTTCCAGAACAATCCAGCAGTATGTTTTTTTTGCTTATATTGAGGGATGTAGTGTATATCCTATATTTTTTTGCATTATGAAAATTTTATTAAGAAGAATTATAATGTTTTCTAACTGAATTGTATGCTCTTTTACCTATATGTTTAATGTAATAATTTTTGGTTTCATTTCTTACTCTGTTCTTTAACCTTGCTACTTAAATTTTCTCATGCTAGCAGTATATGTTCATAGTTAATTAGTTTCTTTCCTGGTATCAAGTGTCGACTATGTTTGATAATTGATATTCGATGTTCTCCCAGCGGCCAAGCTGCGGTAATAACTCCACGACAAGTGATCTCTGGTTTAGGGGCACGTCGAGTGAAAGCTGTTGCTGCAGCTAAACATCACACTGTTATTGCAACAGAGGCTGGAGAAGTTTTCACTTGGGGTTCCAACAGAGGTAAATGCTTTTCTGATATTCACATTACCATATTTACCAACTCTGTGAGTTATCCCAAGCAGGTAATGTGCTGTCAATAATTATGTCATTGACGTTATTAGATGTATCAAAATTGTCATGCTTCCTCTTTGGTTGTAATTTAGTGCATAGGAACTGGTATTTGTAATAAGTGTTTTTGGCTTTCATGGTTGCATTTTGATTCATTTGGTGATGATGTGCAGAGGGTCAACTTGGGTATACTTCAGTAGATACTCAACCCACACCTCGTAGAGTGAGTTCGCTGAGGTCAAAAGTAGTTGCTGTTGCTGCAGCAAACAAGCACACTTCTGTAGTTTCTGACTTGGGTGAGGTTTTCACCTGGGGATGCAATAAGGAGGGTCAGCTAGGCTACGGAACATCTAACTCGGCTTCTAACTATGCCCCAAGGATTGTTGAGTATTTGAAGGGAAAGAATTTTGTTGGAGTTTCTGCAGCTAAGTATCATACGGTTGTTCTTGGATCTGATGGAGAGGTTTTCACTTGGGGCCACCGGCTTGTTACTCCAAAGAGAGTTGTGATTGGCCGGAATCTAAAAAAGATGGGCAACATCCCGTTGAAGTTTCACCGTAAGGAACGTCTTCATGTGGTTGCAATAGCTGCTGGGACTACACATAGTATGGCTCTTACAGAGGATGGCACATTATTTTATTGGGTGTCATCTGATCCTGATCTGCGCTGTCAACAGGTTTTAGCTGCTGTCTATGTTGTGTATACAGTTTCTAGCACTTCTTGTGAATAACATCTAATATATCTTAATTATTTGTAGTTATATTCACTATGTGGTACAAATATAGCGTGCATCTCGGCTGGGAAATATTGGACAGCTGCGGTTACTGTGACAGGTGATGTGTATATGTGGGATGGGAAGAAGGGGAAGGAGAAACCACCTGCTTTAACTCGGTTACATGGGGTTAAAAAGGCAACTTCAATTTCTGTTGGGGAGACCCATTTGTTGATCATTAGTTCTCTATATCATCCTGGTTACCCACCCAATATGTTGAAGAATGGTTCTATGCTCAAGCCGAAGATGGAAAGTGATACAGATGAACTCGATCAAGGTTTTATGTTTGATGAGGTTGAGTCAGAGGAAGTACTGTTTATCTCAGAAAAGGACACAGTCAAAAATAAGACTGCACCAGCCTTAAAGAGCCTTTGTGAGACGGTGGCTGCAGAGCATTTGGTGGAGCCACGGAATGCTATTCAACTGCTGGAAATTTCGGATTCACTAGGGGCAGAAGATCTAAGAAAACACTGCGAGGTATTTTCTTGTTCCTCTATGTGCTTCATTTGTGATCTTTTAGTGAGGAGAGGTTATGCTGTAGTATAAGGTTCAGGAATTTATAAAGTTTTGAAGTTAATGATAGAGTACTTCACAATTATAACTGTAGCGTATTCTAAACTCTCTTTTCGTGACTTTGTTCTGTAGCTCTATTTGCCAAAAGATTCAGAGTTTAGGTGCTTGTTCTCGAATATGATTGACCCTTGCTTATTCCATTAGACTGCAAAACATGAGATATCAGTCTGGGCTTGCTTCTGAAAGTTCTTTTTCTCCCCTCTTTTTGCTTCTCTTTGGCTGCTACTGAGTCGTGTGTGGTAGTGTACACAGGGGTATAGAGCTCTGTCCTTTCAAGATATTGCATCTATACCAATACATGGCTAACGAACAAAATTGCTTGAAAACCTACATGTTTTGAGAGTCGTGACTGATTCGCCACTTGGAGACAGATTTGTCAATATAATCCGACTGAAAAAAAACATGAGATTATGGGTAGGGAAGCGGAGGGGAAGGTAAAAAATACATCGTATTAGATCAGCTTACTATCCTAGTTTCCTTCCAATGAAACATAATCACTTAGTCAGAAAGGTTTCTTTTGCAGTAAAATGTGGTCAGGCTGAAAAGGTTAAAACCGGTTGTCTTGTCAATTTTTGTCATTCCCAATGCAGATTGCTGTTCGCTAAGGGCCCGGCCGACTTTAATTCTTTTTCTTTTGACATCAGATTTATTGGTGGATTGTAAATTGCTGTAAGACATGATTTTGATACAAATGGAGTGGTAATCGAGCTCAAATTCTTTTATTGACTGTGTTTTCACTATAATCGTTAGTCTGGAGATTCTTTACAATCTTTGGTTAGCTGTTTAACCTTTTCTTATTACTAGTTTTAGTGTACGCGCGTTGCGCGTGTATTTCCGTCTTAGTAAATGGATAATTTTAAAAAAATTACATAAATATTATATTAATAAATTGTGTTTGAGTTATAGAATAGAAGTTAAAAAATATTAGTTGCTAAAAATGGTGATTGTTGATCTTATTTAGCTAACTCAATAAAGGAACAATAATAACATAAGTCCTCAATCTTTAATCTTAAGTTCATTTTAGAAGATACAAACAAAATCAAGAAATCTTCTGTTCTCGCAAGCAAAAATTAAATTGTTCTATTTCTTTGATCAATAAATAATATTATAAAAATTATAAACAACTCAAAAAATAATTTTTTTTATTGAGAATTTGGCCGAATAAGCTATATGTTAAAGAAACGAGGGTGACGAACATTGTCAATTAGGTTAAGTTTTATATCCAATTGTAAAAATCATTATAGAGCATTAAGGTGCAGACAACGTATTTTAAAAATGTATCAAACAACATGCTGCATCCCTTACCAGAGTCCTTCTTTCTAGAATTTTTCGATGTCCTCTCCCTCTTCTTCGGATATAGATTATAGAGTGAGTAGAGTAATTCAATTAAAAATAGTAAGACAAAAGAGACGCCCTAACAACTAAGGATAATAACTTAGTCTCTGCTGGGGTCAAGAATCTCAAATCAATTTACCCAACTAAATATTGTTAGGATAAACTTTTTAAAAATTACATAATGATATATGAACAAAAAATTAGCAGCAGAGCTACTTATAGTTTAAAAAAACACATACCAGAGCTCTGATTCGAGCTACTGGGTTGGCTGATAAATTTCTGCAACGTTACTGCTCATGTCATCCTGATATTTTGGTAATGCTTAGCATGCTAGTCGAAACCTTAATGGTTTCCGAGAAGCCATTCACATTCTTGTTGATCTCTTCAATTGGAATACCACTATCTATCTATCTATCATTGTTCCTATCGGGTTTGAATTCCACAATTTTAAATAGTATTGAAGTGTCTATTGTTCTATCTCCCAACCTGACAATAGTTTTCCAAACTCAATTAAGAAGAGCTAATCACCAAGATAATAAAATAAAATAATATTTTCAAACTATCAAAGATAGTCATAACTAATAGAACATTGTGACTTTTGAATAAGATGTACCAGTTATAAATCAATTAAACCATAGCAGAAGATGAACTATATCTTGAAAAAATTTGTCCAAATAAAGTATAAACATCGAATATTAGAAAAAGAGATAAAACATACCTAGTCGAGAAAAATGGCAGAAAAAAAAAATCGTAACCATAGCAGAAGAGTTCCAAAGACAAAGAATTGAGTCCTAGAGTTCTATTAACTTATATATTAGGTTTAGACTTCGTTTAGGTTTTAGTTGTAAATTCTCTATTCTTTTTACCCTGGATTTATATAAGGAAATATTCTAGTAATTAATTTTAAGGTCCTACGTATTTAAACTTACAATATAATTCAAAAATAGTCCAAATAAAAAAAGATTTAATAACTAAATTTTAGTTGATTTCAAATCCCTAAATATTAGGGAAATAATGAAATTATAAGTTCATCTAGTTTGAAATTTATTTTTAAAGGGTAAAAAAGGCGAACGACATTTCGCTAAGGACCTTCGTGCTTTTAATATAGTATAGATTATTATTATTATTATTATTATTATTATTACTTATTTTAATACCTTACACCCATTGGTGGGTTGCAGGTGCTGTCACTTCTATATTACTCATCATTCAAGACTATTTTATGGATAGTCTTATAGAAGCTAAGCGGAATTTTTTTTGCAGGATATTGCAATCCGCAATCTTGATTACATATTTACAGTCTCAGGCCATACAGTTGCAAATACTTCAGTTGACGTATTGGTTATGCTCGAGAAAGTGTGGGATATGAAGTCATCTGAACCCTGGAGTTATCGTCGGCTTCCAACTCCTACTGCCCCCTTCCCTGCCATAGTAGATAGTGAAGAAGATAATGATGATATTGAGTCTCTTAGGACGCGTGATCACTGTACAAACAGGCCAATGTTGAGACAAGAGAGAGACCAGAGATTAGATAACTTTCTACAGTCTGATGAAGTGAAAGACGGGGTTTTGAAACAGGTACGTGTTTTGAGGAAAAAGTTGCAGCAGATTGAGATGCTTGAAGATAAGCAATTCAAGGGGCAGACTCTTGATGATCAGCAAATTGCTAAGCTTCAGACAAGGCCAGAATTGGAGAAGTCTCTTGCTGAGCTTGGTGTCCCAGTAGAAACGCTCCAATCAACAGTTTCATCCTCTGTTCTTGCTGATGGAAAAGGGAGTAAAAAAGTGGACGTACCCAAGAAGCAAAGGAGAAAGAGCAAACAAAAGGCAGTACCAGTGGAGGTGGCGTCCAATAAATGTGAAAGTGCAGAATCCAGCCCCAGAAAGGGTGCCTTGGGTGTTCAAATTCCTGAAGTCCAGTACGAGGTGAGGTTTTTAACCATTTCTATTTGTTCAATTCTTGGTGATCTGAAGACTGTAAACTAGATTCCATGCCTATTTATACTGATTTAAACATATCATCCATTTATGTTAAGGTTTTTTGTTTTAAGCTGTTAGAGGATAATCTTCTACGAGGAGAGTGAAAAGTGAGAAATATCTTTTGATAGCTTAAGGTGATCAGGTTGATTAGTGTCAGATTATCGGTTACAGGAGTGCCTGGTTTCTGTACTTCATAATTTTATATTGAGTAGCAGAGTGCTGATGAAAATGTCAGAGCTGCTATATGGCTATGTTTTAGGAGTCTTCTTAGCCCTATTAGAGGTTTCTATGGCAGTAGGAAATATAGAGAACTTCTAGTACCTTCCATTTCTATATATATATTTTTTTTTTGTAAAATGTTGGCCTGAGATGAATTTAAATGGGGAACACTGTCAGTGAGGATTCACATAGCCAACCCCTACTGGTTTCGAACTGAGGTGTAGTAGTTGTTGTTGCTGCTATATATGGCTATTTTCTATATCTAATAATATATTGAATCTGGTTATTTGACTTCATATGTATCGCCACTAGTTTAAGGATGTATTTTTACTAGTCTTTGTGGTTTCCTCTAACAAGTCATTTCAGCAAAACCCCACTGCTGTTTATACATGGAAGCTGCTCTGATTGGATCATCAGACTCCGCATACTGATTTTCTTCCTGATGTTGACTGGGGAAATGTTTTACTTCTTAATAGTTTCTTTTCCAATTGTAGGATGACCACAAAGGTTTGGAAGGAGCTGCAGCCAATCAAGATGCAAAAGATTCTCCCTTTATCATCAAGAGAGACCTTGGAAACAGCCTTAATAGTAAAGGTTCGTCAGCTGTAGCATCAAAGAAGAAAAATAGGAAAGGTGGACTTTCCATGTTTCTAAGTGGTGCTCTTGATGATGTTCCCAAAGCTGTAGTTCCACCACCAGTTGTGCAAAAAAGTGAAGGCCCTGCTTGGGGTGGTGCTAAGGTTACGAAAACCTCTGCATCTCTTCGAGAAATACAGGATGAGCAAAGCAAAGTAATAGATACAAAGCCCTTGAAGCCCAGGGACCTGGTAGAAGATCCCTCTGGTGATAGTAGTGGTGGTAAATTACGGTTGAGTTCATTTTTACAGTCCAATCCGATACCCATGTCACATACAGCACCTGTCTCTGATGTGGAAAAGAACACCCCTCCTTGGGCTGCCTCCGGTACGCCTCCTCTTTTACGTCCATCTCTCAGGGACATCCAACTGCAGCAGGTTGGTTATTCTCTACCCTACCTAGCCTCCTCCGATACTGCATTTGATTTCAGAATCCTACAATCCGGCATGTCTTTTGTTCCTGACACAAGACTATATTGGCTTTTATCTGCTGAATATTTTGCTGTAGGTAAAGCAACCGTTGGCCCTCTCTCATAGCCCAAAGACAAGAACTACTGGCTTCTCTGTGATGACGGGTCAAGGCTCACCATCAGAATCTAGTTGTCCGAGTCGCTGGTTCAAACCAGAAGTTGAAACACCTTCGTCTATCCGTTCAATACAGATAGAGGAAAGGGCTATCAAGGACCTAAAACGATTTTATAGCAATGTTAGGGTAGTTAAAAACCAGTCCTAATACTGTTTGGCATTCTTCATGTAATGCCTAATCAGAACAAGTTTCTAAGAATGCCAAGACAGTTTGGCATTCTATCTATAATTCCGACTCTGCTCTCTTTGTTCCGCTCGGCTAAGCTTTGCCCGTAAATAGGTGTACATTAGGCCCTAAGATGTTGGTGTTTGGAAGATTAGATTTCTTGTTATTTCTCTTCTTTTGGGTGTTCTCTAAAAAATAATTGGAACTCTAGCCGATTTTGGTTGGCTGGTATTCTGTTCACCCCATTTTGAATAAGGAGCCAATAAAGGGCAGTGTAAATATATGTATTTGTCCATGTCTTTATCTTGGATAAGTAGAAAAAGTTATTGGTCAGTTTTCATTTTTTTCTTTGTCCCAATTATTTTGGGTATGGGGTCTAGGGGTAGGGGAAGAACTTGACAGGATGAATGTCGCACCTCTTGGATGGATGAGATGTAGTGGTCTAGGTGATTTTATTGCCTTTCTCTTGTTGGGTAAAAACAAGCTGCCTTTACTTTGCAGTTTGAGTTATTTTATGGAGACATATTGGACAGTGTAATCACATTTACATTTCAAATTGTAGACGCCTAAAACTTACACTGTTGAAATCTCAGTTATCACAATTGATTCCAGAATTCACGTGCTGAATAGGATAAGCTGCTATTTGACTTTTTGCCTGCATTCAAGTTTATGAGCTAGAGCTTCTTCATGCTTCAGAAAAATCTTGAGGGAGTAACATAAGTAATTCACATAAAAGTAACAGGCCTGGAGTCGAAAATGCTTCAATACACAAAGAAATACGGCTTAACGTCTCTGCCAAATTTCTTTTGCCTTCGCTGCATTGGCCCGGAGTGGACTGGATAATTTATTTTCCTTTATTACATCTTCAATAAAATCCTTATTGAACACACCCTCCACCACGCTGAAAAATCCTTATTAATTAAGAGAAATTGCTTTTGTATTAGCTCTGAAAGTTTGAGAAGACATCGAATCTTTATATTTTGGCTTGACGTGGATACAATTATTCCTACTCGATGCAAAAGATGGTCAGCTGCTTTCCGAATTGATGGCATAATGGATCTGTAAGGTCAGTAGCACATTGGTATACTAACTATTTTATGTAGGTATCTTTCTAGGAATGACAATGGGGCGGCCGGGGCGGGTGTGGGGCGAGTTTGAGCTTAACCCGCAAAATTTCAACCCCCATCCCGCCCCGCATAGCAGTTTTTTCTATTTTCAACCCATCCCGCACTGCCCCACAAAGACCCACCCCGCCCCGCATTTTATTTTCATTTGTTATTTTTGCTGAAAAAGCACAAGTTTAATATTTTATTTTTTCAGTTTCTTAAATCCCTCATATCCAACTATTATATTTTTATTTTCAGAAATTATAATAGAAAATGTGATACATTATTTAATAGTCAAGCAACTTTGATAGTTAGACACACGAAAGTGTTTCAAGTCATTCGCTAGCAAAAGTTTTTCGCATCTTTCTTTGTCATCTCAGTTCTTTATCTACAGGTCGATTGTGTAATAGTCGCGTACCTTCTTCCTTGATTCTTCTCTCCTGATTATCTCTGTGATTCGAGGGCTGAAGCCGCGTATTTCTCAAATGTAGGATAATGCAAACTTCCTGGGGATGTATTTGATCTCCAGCTTCTTGAACTATTTGATTGTCAAGAAGTATCCTGCCATATTTTGATCTCTTTATGAATATCCCAAAAGTTTATAGGATTTGAGACGATCTCCATTTTTGAGATATTTTTTTAAAGGATTATGTAACCCTTTTTATAAGAGTGACCTAGAGTTTTGGTAGAGTAGCCTCCAAGCAACACGGGCAGACTCCTAGAATTTTAAGAGGTCTTGTAGTATCTTGAATTTAGGATTTAGCTTGATCCATTAAGATTTCAATGTCTACAAATGCCCCCTACTTCAAGGTTTGTCGGGGTGTAGCCTTGGAGAAACTTGAAGACGAGACTTGAAGTACCCCATCATCATAATAGAAAATTTTGAAGCTTGCAGTTTCGATTTGCAGGAGGAAGAGATGAAGGGCAGAACTGGTCCCACTGGGCGTGCCAGAATTTGTAGACAATAAATTGCGTCGAGAAAATAAAATCAAGACTGAAAATATCGCAACAATCATAGTATTTTATTTCGAATATTTGAGTGTTACAATCTCTATGATTTCTCTTATTCTACTTTTCTAATATAAATTCAAGGGTCTTCAAGCTTGATCTTGAATTTGAATTTGATTTATCCGTTGCGAACACTTTGATTGTTACCATGAATTTTATCACGAACAAGTAGCCTTGATCTTGAACGCCTTGTTTTGGCTTCGTTCTTGATCTTGAGTTTCATTACTTGAACTTGAACTTGCTTTGTTCCTCGTTCTTGAGCTTGAACTTGATTTGTTATTCGTTCTTGAGCTTGAACTTGATTGCTTGAAGCTTGAAACTTGTGGAGGAATTTGCAATGTTTGATCCACGAGCTCTTTCTTGCTTCTTATTATAACTTCTGGTGTTTTTTCTGGGTTATGAATACCCCTATTTATAGTTGTGGAAGAGAAGAGTTATGATAAGAACAAACTCTTTCCGACCAATCAAATTAAAGTGTGACATGGCGGTATTTGATTCACCAGAACATGTCACTTGCATACGTGACGCGATTTCATTGGCCTTTTAATGTGACTTGACATGCTTTGTCATTTTGACACGTGGCATGATCCTATTGGCTCTTCCGTTTGACTTGGCGCGCCACGTCATTTGACACGTAGCACCAAACTGGGCCTCTAGGAAGATGACATCTTGGGCTTAATGAAGTGGGCTCATCACTTTAGCCCAATTAAATGGGTAGCCCAATGGATTAACACTTATTTATTTAATCCATATATATTGGACTTATATAGTTAATTCAATTATATTAGCCCATATATTTATTTGGACCAATATATCTTGAATTTAAAATATAGTCCAAATTATTTTATTGAATTTAAATTTAATAAATTTTGCATGCAGTAAAAAGATTTCTTGAATTTATTATTCATATCGTATCTATATAGTTTTATTACCTTCAAACCGGGCAAAATCATTCTAAGTATATGGTAAATTTTTCAACTTCTCAGTAACTCTGATCGATTAACTAATAAATTTTTAGGGCAAAAAAAAACATGTTCATAAATTTTCCCATTAAAATTAAAGGGTGCTTGATTCCGGCTATATTCAGGGTGAGATTAAAAAAGATAGTGCTGAGGGTTGGTTAAAAGGAAAAAGTGAAAAGAATGAATAATGTCTCACATTTGTACAGTCCATAGTGATTTCCAGAGTAAACCCGCAAGGAACCGCAATGGAACCGCAACCGCCCCGCATTAGATTTTGAAAAATTAGTTTTAACCCGCCCGCCTCACACCCGCACCGTCCCATTGCCATCCTTATATCTTTCAGACTTCTCAATTTCATTCTTCAAATGTTCAATTTGATCCCAATTTGATCTGGAAATTGAATGTCGTATATAATACTACAAAGTCTTAGGATACGGGTGNTATATATATATTAAAAGTTAACAAAAGTGTAAGTTTCGAAAAATGATGCTTGTTGACCCATTTAATTAACTCAATTCTCTATTCCACATAAATCCTGAACCAATTCATTTCACTCATAAAAGACATTTTTCTCTTTTCTCACAAACAAAGTACAATTGTCCAATTATTTTTAAACAACAAGAAGTATCATAGGAATTATTTCTTACAAATTAGAAAAGAATAAAGGGAAAAGGTCCAAAATTATTGTTTTACTATGGTATATTGTTTACTTTTGCTATCCGTTATACTTTTCGTCCAAATCTATCCTTATTGTTAACAAAGTTTGCATAATTGCCCTAGCAGATCTACACTAAGGGTGTTAAACGGGTGGGTCGGGTTGGGTTGGAATTTTTTGGACCCGTACGGGTTATGGTCCGGGCCGGTTACGGATTGAGGCTTAACGGGTTCGGGTTCATCGGGGTAAAAATTGAACTGTAAGGGTTACGGGTTGAGGGGGCCGAGCCGGGTTTAGTATATTTTTTTATTTTTTTTTGTATTTTGTATAACTATTGTAAGTTATATTAATACAAAGTATTAACATAAAGAATATATTGAAGATGAGAAAAAATTGCACTTATAAATTGCAAGTGCTACATTTATTTCAAAATTCAAACTTACAAATTGAAAGGTTTACATTTAACAACAAGTAAATTAACCCAAAAAGAGTAAATTCAAAGGTTTTGCATTGCCTTAGTAAGTTCTTCATAATCAATATGAACTGAGTGACCTTCTTCTGGAGTGTTAAATTCGGATGGGTTACCATGTGTTAATATATCTCCAAGTTCCTCGTCTTCTGGACTATCAACATCTTCACGTCCTTGATTTCTTCGTTCCGATCTAATCCAATCTCTGAAACATACTAAAACTTCCAAAGCATTGCTTCCCAATGAGTGACATGTGTCTCCAAGTTGTTGTCTTGCTTGGCTAAATGCACTCTCCGATGCAACAGTAGAAATTGGCACATTCAGCACGTCCCGAGCCATAGCAAAAAGAATAGGAAATTGCTTTCCATTCTCATGCCACCATCCCAACGGTGAAAATTCCTTTGTGCGAGGCTCTTTTTGCTTCTGCAAGTAGAATTGAAGTTCATCAATGTTCCTGCTACTGGTTTGAGTGTTAGAAAATGTAGAAAAAAATATTAAAACTATCAAGGCTTTCTTCATCATCCACAGTAGCAGAAGTGGTACAGTGCATAGTGAGATTAACATTGCCTACAGTACGAGCATCATCATCAATTACATTTGCATAATAA